TGGATATCTCCGAGACCGCCTTCTGCCACAGATTACCTCCCATCGACCAGTACGCTCCCACAGAGTGGGTCTCCTCAGGGTGCCGTCAGCCAGACAGTGCCGGCTGGCGACCCCAAGGGGGAGGGCCTTCTCTGTGGGAGCTCCCACCCTGTGGAACAAACTACCCCCAGAGATCAGGGTGATCCCTGATCTTCCTTCCTTCCGCCGCGCCCTTAAGACATGGCTATTTCAGCAAGCGGGACTGGCCTAGGGGAAATTTTTAGCTGGGTTTTAATATAATTTTAAATTAACATAGGCCTAAATTCATTGAACAAACATCTGCCTATCCCAGGTCCTTTGGAAGGATTTGATAGGTGGATAAAAGTGCCAAATCCAGTCTAAATATCTGGCTGACTATGCGACAAGCCAGAATAATAATTGTAATGCACTCTCGTTTGAGTTCCCAGTGCTGATAAACTCATCTCTTTGTGTCAAGGAATATCTAATCTTTCATAGTACAATTACGGTAAGCCATTTAAGATTTTTTCCCCATTTTGATAGTGAATAGCATTGAAAGGATCCAAACTTAATTGACACTTTATAACATGACATTTCATAGAAAATATAATTATTATTATGATGTGTACATACTTAGGAAGTTTCCAAGCTTCTTGGAGTTGTTCTTTGTCACAGCCACATGCTTTAAACAAACCTTCTGTCCAGTCCCCTACAACACGTATGTGAATGCTGAAATAATCTTCTTCAGGGGCCGAAGTCAATGTGAAAGGATGCCATTCCAGTACCGACACTTCAGGACATTTGACAAAAATGTACTGTCCAACTTCCATCTTAAAGCCTTTCTTTTTCATCTGGAGCTCAAAGGTTTGGAAAGGATGTGTGACAACCTGACACAAGAAATAAAATTCTCAGAAGGCCAGAGAAAATGAAAATTTGTCCTAAGTTAACACAAGTTTGATAAAGGAAGTAACAAAAGGTATTCCAATCTTTATTTAGAATAATGATTTGAATGAAAATGTTACTTCCATAATGATTAACTGTTAAATATATTAATGCTGGGAAGACTTCCAAATAAATATATTAAATACTTTGATAATTAATTTGGAAGTTTCTTCCCAGCATTGGGTCTCATTATCTGTAGGTATCACTGATGACAAGGCGACAACAAAATGACTAACATTTTGAGTGGCATGACTCTTACCTTTGTAACAACCACTTTTTGCTGTGAGCGCCAAAACCTCACCAGTCTCTCACAAACATACAGAATCATAGGGCCAACGACCCATTTCCATGTCTGTCAACAGAATGAGTAAAAGGAGAATGAAGAATTGTTCAACTTTTCTTAATGTTCACACATGACACTATTCCGTGAATTCCTCTAACATGGTTCAACTGAAACCATGGTTTTCAAACCACAGCGGCTAAGTACATATCACATGTTCAACTAAAACTCAATCACTTTATAATTTAGCACAAGATGTGAACCCACTCATTCTCTTAAATAGAAAGATGGCTGCTTTGTATGTACCAGAATTTGTGTCAGTTGTGCAATTGGACAGGGCTGGTTGTATAGCCCTCTTGTATAGATAAGTTTGTTGTCTGCAAAAACTTACAGTAATTGGTTAATAGGAAACTGCAACTTTCTCAAATCTCTAATTTCAGAAGTCTATTTCTGCTAAGAGAGATGTTGTCCTTCATCTGAAACTACTCTTGAACATATGAATGAAAAGATGTTTATATCAAATATTTATAATGATGTTCATATAAGTTACGGTCCGATTGAACCTGCAACTGTTTTCTCTAACTTTCCTTTCTTTCAGCAAACTCTAATATTAACATTAAAAATTCAGCAGTCTTTCCAGCTGTGTAGTATTATTTTTTTTAACAAGGAAGCAATAGATCATACCATGGGAGGATTTCCAGCAAACTGTGGTTTAGGACATGAAGATAATTCCCCCCAGACTGTGTAATTTGTGGCACAATTTTCTGGATCATGGTCTTTTAAGCTCTTACTGGTCTGCCCACGAACGATTCTTCTGCAAATAACACCAAGCATTAGTAGAAACAATACATCCACAGCAATTAAAGCATGACCGGAATATTTTCCACTAATTCTGAATTCAACATATTAATGAAATATATATTTATTGATATATATTTCCCATGATAGTCACGCATCATATTTCAGACATTCACACCAAGCCATGGTGTAATCATGGTATGTTAAACACCACACATGTTGTGGTTTATACATCACACTAAATCAGAATGAACAAACATTGTGTCATAGTACAATATGTGAACTAACAGTATGTTCTATTGCTTATTAAGTAATTTTAATTTATATACCTACATTTTAGCTACTTTCTAGTCCACACATTTATTTATTTTTATTTTATTTATTGAATTTATATCCCGCCCTTCTCCTTGCGGACTCAGGGCNCGCGGCGGAAGGAAGGGAGATCAGGGATCACCCTGATCTCTGGGGGCAGCTCATTCCAGAGGGTGGGAGCTCCCACAGTGAAGGCCCTCCCCCTTGGGGTCGCCAGCCGGCACTGTCTGGCCGACGGCACCCTGAGGAGACCCACCCTGTGGGAGCGTACAGGCCGATGGGAGGTAATCTGTGGCAGGAGGCGGTCTCGAAGGTATCCCGGTCCGCTGCCATTACATATGAGCTATGTAATTTAAACAGTTGCATATTTCGAACAACCACCACTGATCCACTTACATATATCTTCAAGTTCAGTGTTAAAAAGCAAAACATTATGAAATGAGCCCATTCATATTAGCTGTTTCAGGAGCTCACATTTGGTTATTTTGAATTATGACTCCATCAGCCCCAGACTGCATGACCAGTTGGGAGTTATAGTCTAAAGTAGGTGCCCCCAACCTTTGGGCACCAGGGACCAGTACTGTGGAGAGAGTTTTTTCTGCAGACCAGAGGGGGGCACGGTTTCATGTGGTACCTGCATCCTGCAGATGGGACTTTGCTTGTTTGTGAGGCCCGATTTCTGGCATGCAGTGGATCGGTGCCGGTCCACAGACTGGGGTTTGGGACCCCCGGTCTAAAGCTATCAGGTTAAAAATGATTCTGTTACAGACTACAGTCATTTATTGTTCTGATAGATCGTCCTAAGATAGCCCCTTTGATACCGTTTCTAGGCAGTTCTTGAATGTGATATCTGAATAAGTGCAGAAACTTACCCGAATCCATGGATGACAAGACCAGCAAAAAAAATAACAAAGAGATGGTGAGTAAACCAGAATACTTCAAAATATGATCTGCGAATGGTTTTGGTGGATGATGTGATAATTAGTATTAGACACAGTGTAATGATAACGCCACTGAGGCCAGCCAAGGTTGTAAATGCCACATAGAGGCCACCGACAGGGTTCTGGAAAGGAAAAAGCAGGTTGATATAAACACATCAAACACATCCATTCTGACAGAGTTGCATAACTTCTCTTGCTTCAAAGCCGAGGAACAATATCCCCAAGAAAAAGCATTCTGTTAGGGGTAGTGATGATTATAGGAAAAATAAAATCTATCTGTATGCATGCGTGAGAAACAATAATTCTCTGGTTTTTCTCCCATCTCCTTACCGAAAGTTTTTTTCTGGCAAAATTCAGATAAGTTTCGCCTGAGTGATCACCTAGATCAGACAGTACAGCCTTAATGCTTCCGTTTTCTTCAGTGCGTGCATCCACCAATCTTTCAACATTAAATAAATGTGCAATTGTATGGATTGCTGGCAAAAAATAGAAAATAAATAAAAAAACGGGATAGAAAAATATATTAACACATTAAAGAGATAAATCACTTTTCAAATGCTTTGTTTTTTCATATGGAAAGGTGCCTTTTTTGCTAACTATTTTGAAAACTGAAACATCCTATAAAACATAAAAACAAATCTATAAGACACATACTTTACAGATACAGCTCATTTTGTTTCTACTCTTACAATAAGTTGTATACGTAGTTATTTTAATTGCATTATTTTTCTCCTGTTGTAATGAGGTGGCTTTTTAAAAAATTAAACTGTGAATGGTTTTGTGCAAAATTTGAAAAAGTAGATTAAAAGTTTGGAAATAAATATAAAATAGCACAAGAACTTTGACAACAAGGCAAAATAAGTGCATTTAATGATGAAGGAATTTGACAAGACATGAAAAAGATATCTTGCTAGAACATGATCACAATAATGAAAAACTTCTAAAGCCCCAATAAATTTGTATCAAGATTAATTATGTTCCTCTTCTTTCTACTTTCTTTTAAACCAAAAAGTTCACAAAGGTATTTATTTTTAATATTTTGTATAGGAATTGATGACCTGAGGCATCTAAAATTAAATATAATTATACAGAATAAACTTCTCTTTCATTCATCCTCTACAGGTTTGGTAGTTGCTCAGCATTATAATCTGGGTTTATATACTGTACTAAATCATGGCTTACTTAATCATAATTTGTTGACTATGATTGGATTTGTACAGCAGAGAAAGTTAAAAACAGTGGCAGGATTCAGCCGGTTCGCACCACTTCGGCAGAACTGGTAGCTAATTTTTTGTTGCCCAGGCCCAGAACGGACTTCCAGAACCAGCATCCACATAGAAAACTGGTTGTTCACATATTTGAATCCCACCACTGGTTAAAAACCATGGTTTATAAAACACAGTGGCTACATTCATTCCATATTCAACTGTATTATGGTTTAACAAATGGTCTAGCACTGATGATGTTACATACTGTGGTAATGAAACATCTTCAAGAAAACAACTAAGCTCAGAGAGCACCAAGGACCCCACAACCCAATCCTGAGCTACAAATATTCTCTTCTTTCAGTTTAATAAATGTTTTGTCTTCTTTACTTCTCATGCCTTTCCAGAAACTTGTTCTTTCAGTATGAGTTTTGTTCAATAAATTGATGAGACTTTGAATAAAATAGAACTTTGGAACACCCACCAGTATGTAGTGCAATCATCCAGGCCACCAGTTTGTGAAATGTGAGATTTCTGTCCAACTGTCTTCTGACACGCACTGAGCAACACTAGATTCAGAAGAAAAAGTGAAATACGACAATACAATCTGTCTCTCTTGGTTCTCTCTTCTGAGTTTGAAGTGCTAGCTACCCATTCTTGACTGCTACTGAACAATGCCTCATAATGTTTGCTGATTCCACTGCCAGTCACTATCTGCCTCCACTGAATCTGTTTCAGGCCTGATCAAATGAGGAGCCCTTGGCTGTGAAAGTGCCTTCGGTTATAAGTAACATGACTGTTTTTCTTTTCTAGCTTTAAATTATCGTCATTTCCATATTTCCTTTTTATTCATCTGGGTGGACAATGGAAGTGCTAAAACAATGCATGTTACAATTATGGAGTAGTTAAGGAGCAATAAATTGAAGTTCAATCTGGACAAAATGTATGTGCTGTTAGTCGATGTTTTATACATCTGGGTATATTGTTTTCAATTCGTTCTGGAAAAGTTGTATTCCCTCTGAATCCATTATATTTATTAGGGACACAAGGGATCCTATAGCAAAAAGTGATTTCTTGCAGCTTACACTAGTGAACGGGTGTCAAACGGGTATCACGTGACGTATTATGATGTGTTTTTTGCCTTTGCGGAGCCGGGTGGCCGTGGCCTGTGTGTGACGCATCCGGCCCGCGGGCTGCCAGTTTGACACCCCTGCACTACTGTGTCAGCTATGACCTTTACTGTAGCTCTGATATAGCAGTTCATACCCTGGTAACTTCATATTTAGACATGTTTACAATGTGTTTTATATGAAGCAGCCTTGAAATTCAGTAAGCACAGAATACTGCATCAAGAGTATTATAAAGATATTCTACCAATTTTATTCAACGTTCTTACTTCATTTCTAGTCATAGGTAAGATGCTAGTAATAACTGACCAGGATTTTCATCATTCGGGACCACAGTATCAAAAGAATACCTTTCTTTTTTAAAAAAATAACTATCATATTTTAAGACTGAAAGGTAAAGACTAACAAGAACTAATAATAAGAAAAAGAGTAAAGAAACAGAGAGAGAGAGACAACAGAAATGTAACAAAATAAAAAATAATCAGAAATATAAAAAAGAGAATGACTTCTGACTTCTTTTACAACAGATATAAATGAAACTTACATCAATCCCAGCCAATACCATCAACTTTACTAATCATTCTTCCATTGTAGGTATTATTGAGTCTTTCCACCATTGGGCATATAAAAGACTCACCACCATTATTATACATAACAACAGAGTAAAACATACTCTTTTCAATTGTTTGTCCATCAATCCAACAGAAATGTCTTTAGTCTTGATTGTATGTTGATCTTCATTAATCTCCTCTCCAGGCTCATTCTGTTGCCAATCTAAAAAAATCTGCCAAAGGCTGAACAGCCTTTCTTCTAACAATGTCCTGGAATTTCTGGAATGGCTCTAAATCTCAAATAAATTCTTTTTCTCCAAGCTCCAGCAGAGCTTAATTATCCATTCCTCTTTCAAACTCTGTATCCCCAGTTTCCTATTTATTCTCTAAGACAGGGGTCCCCAACCTGTGGGCTATGGCCCATTACCAGCCTCTTGGCCTCTTGGCCACCGGGCCATGTGAATGGCTGGCCAGTGCGCACACTCCCCCTGCTAGCATTGCCCTGAGTGTCGCATGGGCGCTAGCCTCACCCCCAGCATCACGCACACACCTGTGCCGCCCCCATTTGCGTCGCGTGTGTTCACGCAGCCCCATGCCTTCCCCTTCCTTTCCTTCTGGGCCGCCATCCTAGAAAGGTTGGGGACCTCTGCTCTAAGATGTCCATTCTGTCGTTAGTTTATTTCTCCAGAGATTTGTTTTGTAACTTCAGCATTTGTTTTACAAAATTATCCATCTTATCCAGTTTTTTCAATATTTTTTTCAAAAGATTTAAAGATGGCATCCAATTTGAAATTCGCTGAGACAGTGTAGATCCTAATTTGTGAAACATTAATTTAATTACATTAGAAGATTGGCATATCTTGTTTCTCTTTACCTTCCTTCTACAACAGCTACCCCTTAGAAGCTATTCTGGCATTCAATTGAGCTCTTTGTATGTTTTTGGTTTGGGATAATTTTAAATTAGGACCAGTTTGTGCTTTCTGCTTATCCCTAGTTTGCTTTTTGTGCCTCTTTGCAGCATTCCCTGACCTGGGCATTCTTCAGATATATTGACTTCAATTTCCAGAATTCACCAGACAGTGTTATCCTTCTGAGAATTTTGAAAATTGAGGTCCACACTTCTACAGATGCCCAGTTTGGAGAATACTGATTTTCCCTTGCAATCAATGAGATATGAGGAAATAATACTTTTAAAAATTGGAAAAACAAATCAGAAATAGCTTTTTAAGTCTGATCATACCGCTCGTATTTAAGACTGGAAGTAGTCATGAATTGTTCAGAAAATCATGATTAAAAGAAACCATAGCTTAGTATGCATGAATAAACCCATTTATGATTTAGCTTTATATCTAACCAGGTCACAATAGTTGATTTACCACATTGATTAAGAAAACCCTGGTTTAATATGTTGTCTGACCCGATCAGTAACTGGGTCCTTTTCAATCAATGACTCTGCTCTGAATAGCCTCATGTTTTAACTGTGCAAAGAAGTCAGAACATCATCTTCAGAGAAACTTCATTCACTATCACAATATTTGCAGGTAATCTACAAAATTAAAAGAATAGAAGACAACCCTCGTTTGCTTAGGATGAATATTTTTTTTCATTAATAATAGCAAATACTTACTGCGCTTGAACCTCTGAGAAAGGAAAGCAGATTTCTACAGACAGGAAGCAGAATTAACAGGCAGTTGAAATTCAGACATGCTGCAGGTGCCCGGGCCAATGCCAAATAAGGCTAAATATCAGACAATGGGATCACAATTAATCAAGCAATATCATTTAGGGATACATTGAAACAGAACTAAAAGCCCTAATGGACTGGGTTCCCTGCACAAAAGGGAGAATGAACATTAAAATTGTATAGGGCAGTGATGGCGAACCTTTTAGAGACCTAGTGCCCAAACTGCAACCCAAACCCCACTTATGCATCGTTGAGTGCCGGGTGGGCGTGACCCATTGGGTGGGCGTGGCCCATTGGGTGGGCGTGGCTATGGTGGTAACGGCAGACTGGCCGGGACTAAAAGTTCAATCAATCAATTCCAACTTTGCAAGATCTTTTTTTTCCCACGAGAAGTTGAAATTGACTGATTGAACCTTTTTTTTTTTTTTGCACACAGTGACGGAGGCCTAAAGCGAAAAGGTTTTATAAAACCCAGCTGAAGGCCTAGGACTGGGGTGACAGCGCGCGTGCCCACAGAGAGGGCTCTGAGTGCCGCCTCTGGCACCCGTGCCATAGGTTCGCCACCACTGGTATAGGGACTGTGGGTGTTATTGAGCTATTCTCAGCAGATCTGGCCAATGCAATTAACAGAAAGGGATGCTGGGAATTGTATTTTAGCAACATCTGAAAAGTCATGGGCTTCTGGGGTGCCATTTACAAAAAAATATTGCAATACTGTATATATGAATGTGAGGAAAAATAGGATTACGTCTGAATCAAACACCAATTGCAAATTAATGTACACCAAGAAACCTTGTATTGTTGGCATAACATACTAACTGATACTAACTGAAGGTCACAGTATGATTCTAAGAGACAGAGTGACATGTAAATTCAAAGCTTCTATGGAGGCAAGAGCTTGTTTTGTGATCCTATGGATGACCATCTCACCAGAAGAAAGGTTATCAGCAGATGGAGCAAAAGGGAAAAGATCACCGTAACATTGCTTAAACACAATTAGGGAAGAAAAGTATTTTAAGAGGAACATGGGGAGTTTCTCCTGAGACTCTAACTACTATTGCATACTGCCCCTGTGACTGTTCATTGGTTTTGTTGTTTTCTGTGGCACTCTCTTGACAGTTACATCTGATTTGTGGCTTCCACCCTTCTTATCCAGTAACTTTCTCTTCCCTCCACTCTTAAAAATATTTCTGCTCATTTCAAAAATTATTGACTTGTGGTAATTTTTGGAATTAGTTTCCCTTCAGAACTTTGAGACCCTTTCATTTGCTGTCAGACTGAAAAAAGGGAGAAATAACTAAATGTTTTTTTCTGCAGCAGGGACGTCCAACCTGGCTAGGAAATTCTGGGAGTTGAAGTCTACAAGTCTTAAAGTTGCCAAAGTTGGATACCTGGCTATACAGCCTGCATTGCTCTATATCTACACCAGTGGTTCTCAACCTTTTTAATGCCGCGACCCCAACCGGTCGTAAGTCGAGGACTAAACCGGTCGTAAGTCAAGGACTACCCAACCGGTCGTAAGTCGAGGACTTTCCCTGCCCGGGAGTGCCGCGCATGCGTGGTTCCGCCCCCTGCGCCGGCCGAGGCGTAGCTGGCAAGCGGCAGAGACGGAGCAGGCCGACCATCAGCTGGCCCAGCTCAAGGGAGGTAAGGCACCCGCCGGAAAAGGGGAAAAAAATGGCGGACAGCCTTGCTTGGCGACCCCCGTGAAATGGTCGATCGACCCCAAATGGGGTCACGACCCATAGGTTGAGAACCGCTGATCTACACAGGCGGACAATACTAAACCAGAGGAATTTGTAATGTACTGTTGTTACTATTTCCCTTTGTGTCTTGCTCAAACTCTGCTTCCTATTCCTGCATAAAGCAAGAAGTATCAGGTTCTTGATGGGGCAATACTGTTAAGCAACACTTAAGAATATTTCCTGGAAGACCACCCTCTTCTTGTGGTAGTGGCCGGTGCCAGGTTCATGCCACCAGAGCTGGGTGTGTGTGTGGAGGAAGGAAGGAGAAACAAATGAGTCCTGATGCACCATGCATTGTTTCTTCTACTTTGTAATAGATGTAACAGAGAATAATGAAGCAGAACTTCCAGTAACTTCATTTTGGGGTGGTGGTGGTGGTGGTGGTTTAGGATTATTATCCTACAATGATTATATTTAAACAAGGAGGAGTGCTATATTTGGTTTGCTTGACAATTGATTCAGATATGAAGTGGAAGGACAAAAAAAAGGGGAAATGGGTTGAACAGAGACTTCTAAGATTGCTTAACAGACAACTGCATTTTATAACAGTCAAGCTGAAACAAAGTTGCAACATTTCAGAGAAAAAGAGATTGCCTTTTTATTACAGAGAAAGATGGCTGGGAGATAATACTCTATATATTGTATCTAGATTTTCTCTCTCAGCATAATATCATACTGTATTATTTCTTCTTGATGTATTTTCAGCAAAAAAACCCCTCAGATATTGGTCTATTAAAATTAACAGTAGAAGAAGTGATAATCAGAATCTCTGGGGAAAAGTTAAATCTAACTTTCAGTGCTTCTGATCAGGATCATTGGGTGGGGCTGGGTTTAACTTTGCTCTCTCCAGTAGTTTGTCTCCTGCTAAAAGAAGCAATGAAAATGTATTTTGTCTATGCCAGCATTAATGGGAAGGGAGTTTTAACCTCAAGTCTTTTCCCAAAGCAAAGAGAAGCATTGAAGGTTTAACTGGACCTTTGCAAGCTGCACAGAAAATGGCTGCAATCACAGGTGGGTTCTCAATCAATCCAATTGTCATATGGACAACAGAAAGAAAGGAGACTTACTGTCAAATTTGGGGGGGGGGGAAATGAGACATTGCTGGTAACCTACAAATTATGAGAGAGTAGACCAGTGTTTCTCAACCTTAGTAACTTTAAGATATGTGAATTTGAAGTCCCAGAATTCCCCAGCGTTTTAGCAACTAAGATTTGTGCTTGAAGCTGCCTGAGAAAGTCTGGGATTTCCAGATGACACATCTTGAAGTTGGTAACCACTGAAGTTGATTGACTATGAACAGAGAGCAGACATTGTTAGGAATGAATACAGCCAAAGGAACTTAAATCTCATCAATACAGAATAAACTGAGACAACCATTTATCACAGAGGAGAGAACCAGAAGACTAAGCCTGAAGCACTATTACATGTAGATTCAGGGAGAACTCAAATAAACTTCCTGGAGCTGTCTTTATCTGCATCTTAAAATTCATAGATTCAATTGGGAACCTATAGACTTTAGTGGAAATAATGCATGGCTATTTTGGTTAACTATCTGGGAGTTCCCTGAGAGGCTGCTGGCATTAATGACCTAGTGCCATACAGACTTTAGACATAACACCACTAAAGAAAAGCTGAGGAGGGAGACTTGCATTCAATGTGGTCATTTGCCTGCCTTCTCTTGTGGATTTGCAGAAGCTGTCACTACTGTTTTTCAGAGCTGATCACCTTGAAAAGTTAGAACTGGCCATATAAGTCAGAGATGCACATTTTGAGCTGCAATTAGCAGTAATATCCAATAAACATTAGAACAGTGATGAAGTTCACTGAAACATGGGAAAAACAGCATGTGGTATAGGACTTACCCCAAGAAGTTCTCTTGTATAGTAGAAAGTCGGCCCTCGAGCATATACTAAGTAATACCACCAAAAGAGGAAAACATTTAAACCCAGCCATACTAGCTGAAAGAAGAAAAACATGGCCTAAAATTATTTTCAGAACTTTTATTATAATTGCAAGATCTAGTGATCAGAATAGGTTCTGGAAACTCTAGTCCAGATTTTGGTAAAAGCAGCAAAGTCAAAAGATTATGCACCCCAATTTGAACTAATTCTACTTTTAACAGTTCCATTTAACAGTGAGTCCAAATAGGTTCAGACAATTATATTGCATTATATTCCATGCAGGCTGGGCTTCTTTCCCCAAGTGCAAAGTGTGCACTTTTCAATAGTATCTTAATATTATGATGGTCTTTAGGTAAATGATGACACTTAGAACTGCACTGCTGTTTTTAAATTTCAAATCACATCCTCAACCTAACTGAGAGCAATAAAAGAGCACTGACTACCGATAGTACCGTACTGCTGCTGCTGTTGCTTAACATTCTGGCCCTTTTTCCATGTCATTAGCAGAGGCAAGATGGTGACTATTCCCTGATTTTCCCAAAGACTGATCCCAGCAATGTTAAATGCAGATGAGGTTTCTCAAAATTAAGTGGAACATCTTAAAATCTTATCCTTAGTGGTGGAGGTTTTTTTTTTTAAAACAATGATTGTCAGTGTCATTAACTCTGTGTGCTTGCTGATCAAGCACTTTAATTATATTTTAGTATGCTTCAAAAGTTGCACAGAAAGCTAGTCCACATTTTGGAATCTACCTGGAAATCTGAGCTTCTTTTGTTATATATGACTACTTTAGTAACATAAGTAATTACTTAGTTCTAAAGGAAATATCTACAATAATACATAATTAGAAATTCTAGGAATTGGGTAAAACTTTAGTAAGCCATGTTCTCATGGTCCAGCCTAGTTTTACACTAATCCTAAAGCCTAGTTTTACACTAATCCTAAAGAACTTTGGTCGTATCATACTGGTATCCAAAAAAAGTATTGAAAGCTTTTTCAATGGAGGAAAAAAAGACACAATTAAAGGCATACATAAAATGATATAAACCAAAAAATTAAAGCAATAAGAAATATTATAATCCAAGAAATATATATATTTTAAATGGACAGACCGTCTACTCACATAACAATTTATAATAACTTATAAAAAGCCCTGAAATTGCTACCACCCTTTAACTAAACTTGTGTTTTTAAAAAATCATATTTATTTCCTATTTTTTTCAGCAGGACAGTTCATATTTCATTAAGAGTTCTCTATAATTAATTGTTTTTAAAGCTATAACACACTTCTTGCTTAAAATACTGCATATTTACAATGCATTCAAAACAGGAAGACATTTTTGTTTAGATTTTCGCACCTCTTGAACTGAACATGCTTTTATGAAATTAAATGGGTTTTAGCTCTGAGAAAACTAGTCTTAAAATGCACAATGAATGTACTTACAATGACAAATATGGAGAGTCCCTCATTCTCTACCCAGTTGCCCATGATGACGATGAGAACTGTTGTGAGTCTGAGCTGCGTTTGATTATCATATAGTATGTGCTTTTTTCCCCTTCAGAAAAGGAAGTGCAGACTAAGGCTTGCAACAATCTGTTTCCTTATTTCATCTTGCATGCATTAGATAAACGTCCATGTGTTCAGAATAATGTCCATCTTTTTCTCCTTAAAAATTCATACTTAAAACTCAAATCTCATAGAGAATGCAATTATTGCAGATGCTGTCTTCTACATGTCTTTAGAGCAAAGCATACTTGCTCTAGCAATGTTGTAACACCCATGGCAGGGTTGTGATATCAGACTATCTATAAGATTGTTTTCATTTATATATAGTTGTTCAAAACAATGTATTATTCTTTCTAGCATTAGAAAATATCTATTTCATTCACCTAGGTTTTTGAAGAATGCACTCCTATTGGTGATCTGGCATTCTTGTTTGAAATCTGAGTGTTACGTTAGTTCTTTTCAATCAGTTTTGGTCACTTTATTTTGCCCTTTGATTGAATGGGTGTTGGCATGATTATGATCAGGAAATAGATCTCAGCAGTGAGTTAGATAGCCTGATTACAGTGTCAATACAGTGAGTGGTTGCTGTAAAGAGAAGGCAAGTTCCATCTAACAAATCATTGGAAAGGGAACTGAAAATTAAAATGTGGATACATTAATCCCCTTTTATAAACCTCTGGAATTACCAGATTTGAGTGCTGTCTACAGTTCTGGTTACTGTACATCAAAATAAAATAAAAAAATATTATAAAATTGGGAGGGAGGAGTATAAAAAGTATCAGTCAGAATAAGATTTTAGTTTAGAACAATGTTTCTCAACCTTAGCTACTTACAGATGGGTGGTCTTCAACTCCCAGAATTCACCAGCATGCTAAAGTTAAAGTTGCTAAGGTTGAGAAACTTTGGTTTAAAGGAAAGTAAGATGAGAGATGAAATCATACATGGAGTAAAAATGTAAACAGAGAGTTCTATTCATTAGATATCTATTGAGTAAATATAATCTTTACATAGATTTTTTTTCCCTCTATTCAGTCATGTCCAATTCTTGGAGACTGCCTGTATAAGTTTCTGCAGTTTTCTTAGCAGTGTTTTGCAGCAGTAGTTCACTATTACTCCTTCCTAGGAGTGGGAGAAAGTGATTAGCCCAAAGTCACCCAGCTGGCTTTGTGCCTAAGGCAGGACTAGAACTCACAGTCTCCCATTTTCCAGCCTGATGCTTTAACTCATGGGTGTCAAACTCGCCATGTCACGTGACGTGTCATGACGTATCGTGACTCTTTTTGCATTGCCGGCAATGAGGTGGGCGCAGCTTCAGTATGATGAAACCAGCCCATGGGCCGGCAGTTTGACACCCCTGCTTTAACTACTACACCTAGTTGGCTCTCTGCATTGGGATATTAGTGTTTATTAAATCTAATTCAGTCTATTTTGTCTTCTTTTGGTTGGTGCAGGTAGCTGGAATCAGTGTGAGTTTTGCGGTATGTTCTGCAAAAAGAGAGATTTCACAGAAATGGAAACAAGTAGTTTACCTTCCTTCAAATGTCTCAACATGTCAAGTTGAACGGTGTGCAGTTGAAACCCCCTATTGTTCTCAAGCTGACTTTCATATCCCCAAGGGGAACAGATGCAGACATTAGAGAATTTGGAAATGAAACCCAAGTAGCAAAAAATAAATGGCTTTCTAAAAATATATGTTAAACTAATCAGATCCCATATACTATCATATTGACTATAATTATTACTTGTTTTTATTAAACTATCAAACTTTGGTAGACCAAAATAGAAGCATCATATGCCCTACCAAAATGAGTATTAGGTACTTCTATTGTTTCCAATTTTAGTTAAACTAAAGAGGTGTCACAAATGTTATCAATATGGAAATCTGCTAATTTACATTGGAAAAGTGGTACTAAAAAGATCTCTACTTAAAAAGGTGTGTGCTATAACTCCAAGTTTCATTCCAATTAAAACAAGGTTTTGATTTCAAGAACTGAGCTCAAGCTAACATGCAAATCTCAGGTTATCTCCCAAAGAAAGCACAAGACACTTTTTCTTGTTTTACGTCCACTTCACTTGGCCTGGCGCCTGGTATACTCCAGCACTACCACGGCATGTCTGATCATCATATTCTATGCCCTCATGATCAATTTCATTTTCTCCATCTAATTAGACAAATTTATTGCAATCTGCTTTTCAAGTTTTATTTTGAATGTCATTATGTTAAAAAGTGTTGTACAGTTAAGGAAAAAGATACAGATAATCCTCAACGTACGACCACAATTGAGTCCATTTCTGTTGCTAAGTGAGACAGTTGTTAAATGAGTTTTGCCACAGTTAAGTGAATCATTGCAGTTGTTAATAACACGGTTGTTAAGTGAACCCGGTTTCCCCTTTGACTTTGCTCATCAGAAGGTCATAAAAGAGGATCACATGACCCTGGGACACTGCAAATGTCATAAATATGAGTCAGTTGCCAGGCGTCCGAACTTGACTATGGGGATGCTGTAATGGTCGTAAGTATGAAAAATGGCCATAAGTCACTTTTTCCAGTGCTGTGGTAATTTTGAATGATCACTAAATGAACTGTTGTAAGTTGAGGACTATCTGTATTTACTTTTTAAAATTTAATTTAATTTAATTCTTTTATTTGCCACCCATCTCATAATGAAAACAACTCTGGGCTGCTTTCATTCAGAAATTCTACTTTTATTAAAATTCTGGACATAATTAATGCTTTCAATGAAATCAAAAGCTTATTCAGAAATTTTCTCAGTGCTTGATTCAAAGTTTAGAATATTTCTGAACAAATTATTCACATGACCTCAAAGCAGTATGAAATTTATAAAGAGAAATAGCTGTCTCAGGTACTTTTGAAAAGTTGATGAAATGTTGTTTTTATAGGTGGAATTTTCAGCTTGACTCAGCCTGTTGTGGAGGAGAATCTAGGATAGGGGTCTTCAAACGCTGGCTGAGGAATTCTGGGAGTTGAAGTCCACAAGTCATAAAAGGGCCAAGTTTGAAGGCCCCTGATCTTGTTAGTTCTGTTTAAGCATAGCTTTAAGCATACTTGATTGTTCATTTCTTACATTCATGTCCCTTTTATTGAAAGCACTAAGATTGCCTGCTTCTTAGTTATAACAAACGTTCCAATTTATATCATTAAAATGTATTGGTATCAACTCTCCATGAAAACCTCATATTCCCAAATATGTCTTAGAGCAGGCATGTCAAACTGCTGAACCGCAGGCCGGATGCATCATACTGAAACTGCGCCCACCCCATTGCCGGCAATGGGGAAAAAGTCACGATACGAGTTTGACATGCCTGTCTTAGAGGAATCCACCCATCTCCTGAAAATCCATCATCTCTGCAGTAAATATAATATACTCAGCTGCAGTTTGCACATCCTGGAAAACATTCTTCCTGATTTTCTGCAAGATACCTGATAGATAGGAGGCTGGAGTCCTAATTACTCCATTAGAAAACTGACAAAAGGATGTTTTTTCTTTCATCTCTTCTTCCTCACACAGCTGCTATTGCTATGTGAAATCTTAGGATTTTTTTTTTCTCCTCCAGTATCTTGCAGTGTTTTTCTCTGATTTTCTTTAGCAAGGTGTTGGGAGATGCATTATGATTCACTGTTTATTAATTACCATAAAGTAGCAAACATATTTCATAAAACTGTTCTCTGGAGGTAATAATACATTTTCCATTAGTTTGAAATACATGTGGGCTGCAACACTTCAGATGACTACTAAATGACAGCAAAGAATTAGAACAGTGTTTCTCAAACTTGGCAACTTTAAAATTTGTGAGCTTCAAGTCCCAGATTTCCCCAGCTGTCCACTCCTCTTAAACCTACCAAGTTTGTGAAATATTCAGACTCTTTGCTTCCCACTAGTCAGAAAGTCAGTTATTTTGCAACCTTCTGATCACAAGAAAAAGATGGAAATAGATATTTCCAGGTTCTTGTTTGTTCAAAATTCTCCTTCCTTTTTTCGGTACTTTCTGTACCAGAACTTTCCTACACTGAAGCTGAAGGTTTCAGATTTAATTCTTTTACTCCCTCTTATATGCATATTAAGTTACTATGAGCACCCTTGTGCAGAACCTAGGAAAAGGTGTATTTCAAAAGTGAAATGAGTGTTAAAGGTTTGCTGTTACTTTAAAAAAAAGAAACCCTGGAAAGACCCTGGACAATCCAATCAAATTACAAGATGGGGAGAAAATGTGAAAACAATAAAACCGATTAAATGCATTATCAGAAAGAGAAATACATTTAATATCCAAGGTAGTTTTGCCAAAAAGGTTTTAGATTTGATTTTCTGAATTGAACCTTACTGGATGGCCTTAAGGAAGTCCACCACTACTTACATTCTTTCAGCTGTGAAAGTGAGTAACAACAGATTACATGCTGTGTATATTTTGTTGTTAATATAAGCAAGATATTTAAAGGTATATCCATAACGAGTTAAGATAAAATCACAAATATCAGAAGCATGTAATTTGATGCCTTACCAGTTCCTTTCCTATCATTTAAGCCTATCACCCATTCATTGTATTATTCATTCTCTTTCCGTTTACTTTTAAAACATCCAGTATATCCTGCCAGCTTGGCACTCATATCCCAGATGGAATCTCAGTTCTACTAGTCATGATTTGCACCTGCCTAATGTTGAATGGAAAAGTCTTCATCATGATTCATCCAAGCCGGGAATAAACAACATGGCGACTGCTTTAGGAAGAAGGTTGCAGTTTATTGAAGAGGAGAGCCAGACAAGAAGGCGGCTCTGGAAAAAGAGAGTGAGCACATGTAGGGAGTGGATTTTTATACCCTCTGGAGCCTTTTGTTTGGAGTTGTTTCCGGTTTGAAGCTTTGTATTTTCTGTGTCACGTATTCTGACCTGAGTCTGAGTGTGCCTTTCTGGTAGTTTGATGGTGGTGGGTTAATCCTATTATGTCCCAAGGGTCATATCCTGCTTCCCTGGGGCTGTGGCTGATGACTCTTAGATTTTTGGTGTTGACTCTAGAGATCTTTCTTCCTAATCCCAGTTTCCTGACTCCAGTCTTTCTGACAAGATTATCTGCATCTCTGCAGACTTGGTTTCTGCTTTTAAAATCCTTTAGGGAAATATACTCTGCCCTTTTAATATTTTCTTCTCTGGGGGGGGGCTGACTTCCCACACTAGGAAGAAAAAGAAGTTGATAAACAGTAAACAAACTAGAGAAAAAAGAAACAGCACCATTAACTTTTAACATGCTTTAGTTCAACCCTATGTTTGAAAGAAGAATGCCCCCTTGTGGACATTCCTATTATTATTAAAGACACCAAAATAAGGTAGGAGAAGGAAGCTTTCAAATGCATCAAAATTTGGTAAAGAAGCTTAGCAATCAGCCTTTACAGATTTTACACATCACATTGTTATTCAGATCATTATTTTTGAATCTTTGGATATATGGAGATAATCGTATCTGTCATCATAAAATATCCTAAAAAGGAAAGATAAGAGCAGAAGCATGCTTACGAGAACAAGTTTGAAAGAAAACAAAACTGAATTGAAAAGGATAATCTAGATTCTAGAGAGATATCTTGATAGTAGCTGCCTGATTATTGAGGGTATAACGTGTGGGCAAAAGTCCTTGGTAGGCTGATTAAATACATTGAAGAAACACAGTGTACCTTTTTTTTGCAAATATGCTCCTTAATCTATAACTGTTTTGGGCTACCAACAACTCGTAATAGGGAAATCTAATCTGCTAAATTTAATTTTGTTTAGCATATTGCTTATCCCACTAAAGATCACATGATATGTTATTTAGAAACATTATTTTACCTGCTCAATAAAAATATATTAACTATAAAGAACTATTTTTTCTTACATTGTACAATGTTTATATTTGAATTTCTATAAAATTATTTTTCTTCAAATTAGTTAACCTGCACTGTTATTCACTAGGCTTTTGAAACAAAATTCTTGAGTGTTTTAAGTAGGCAGCTATTTAATTCAGAAGATGTGAGGTTGGGAATGGCTGGCAGAACACAATGAAGTTTTTTTAATCAGGTTTATTGTGCAGTCATCAAGAATGCAAATATAAATAACCATTCTAAAGCACCTAGTTGTTTTAAGAAGAGAAAAACAGAGTATTTTTTGTTTAAAGGAAAAGCAGCCACAGTAATTTAAAGAATACCCATCAATAGCAATAAAAAGGCAAAAACATAATAGTATACTAAAGCTAAAATCAACCCAAACTGGAAGTAGGCAAAGAAACAGTCCTGAAAAAAATTAAGAAACAAAATTATTAAGNGAACCATAATTATTTGTAATCACTCTTGCATTCACTCCAGTTCTAGACAAACACATTACATACAGTCATTGCTTTCCATAGTGATTTTTATTCTCGGAGCAAAACAGTCTATCAGATACAAAACTATGACGTCCTTCATCACATGTGCACAGAAGTACATTTGATATATAAAAGATAGAATGGAAAATCTGTTAATAGTTCTATGGTGCATTGGCCTTAAATACTGCAAAGCTGCCTGGGTCCAGCCCCAAATTAGGTGCTGAGAAAACTGTCAATGAGAACTGGAATGAAGCCCTGAAAGGCCAAGATTTGAGTTGCCCTATAGTGGGACAACTGTCAGACTGTGGCCAAGGAAGCAGGCTCTACTACTTTTAAAAATTCTCATAGATGAGATAAATAGCTATAGAAAGGTTGTCAGTTGAATTCAGTTCCCTGGCTGGCCCTTCAACATTCCGGGTAGCTTTGGATCAGGTTCTTTGATCTGTTGTCTGGTATTTCAAAGAGGCATAAGCTGTAGTAGAATGCACATTTTCTTGAGTTGAGCTTGATATCTTTCTGAGTAAATAGGCGTGCGTGATAAATACCTCTAACAGTGAGGAGTAAGGATGACATTAACAACCAAAGATCATGATTTGGACTTGTTTCTTTCAACAGCTTTGAAAGAAAATTTAACAGGGCATTACCAAATTCATGAATTTAGTAGATCAGCAATTTTTCCATGTTTAATTCTGGATTCAGGAGAAAAAAAACTGTTCCAGTTTTGAGAGTCAGATGAAATGATACCATTTGCTACATAAACTTGATAGTAGGTGAAAAACAGAATAACAGAACAGAGATGAAAGGGACCTTGTAGGTCTTCTAGTCCAACCCCCTGCTCAAACCGGGGAATCCTATACCATTTCAGACAAATAGTTGTCCCATCTCTTCTTAAAAACCTCCAGTAATGGCGCATCCACAATTTCTGGAGGCAAAACTGTTTACTAGTTAATTTTTCTCACAGACAGGAAATTTCTCCTTAGTTCTTGGTTGGGTTTCTCCTTGATTTGTTTCCATCCATTGCTTCTTGTCTTACCTTTAGGTGCTTTGGAGAACAGATTGAATCCCCTCTTCTTTGTAGCAATTCCTCAAATATTGGAACACTATCATATTACACCTAGTTCTTCTTTTCACAAGACTAGACTTACCCAATTCCTGCAATTGTTCTTCATATGTTTTAGTCTTGAAACCCCAATCATCTTTGTTGTTCTTCTCTGTACTTTTTCTAGAGTCTGAACATTTCTTATATTGTGGTGACCAAAACTGGATGCAGTATTCCAAGTGTGGTCTTATCAAGGTATTATAAAGCAGTATTAACGCTTCATGTGATCTTAATTTTACCCGTTAATGCAGCCTGGGATTGCATTGGCTTTTTTGGCAGCTGCAGCACACTGCTGGCTCATAGTTAAGTGGTTGTCCATTGGGACTCCTAGATCCTTCTCACAGTAGTTCTACTGAGCCAGGTTTCATCTATATACTATACCTGTGCATTTGGTTTTTCTTGTCTAAGTGTAAAACTTTACTTTTCTCACTATTGAATTTCATTTTGTTAGATAGGGCCCAGTGTTCAAGTCTATCGAGATCCTTCTGGATCTTGAGCCTATTTTCTGGGGTGTTGGCTACTCCTGCCAGTTTGGCAAATTTGATCAGTTCCCCTCCTATTCCCTCATCTAAATCATTTATGAAAATGATGAAGATTACTGGGCCTAAGACAGAACCTTGTGTCACGACACTGCATATTTCCCTCCATACAGATATACTTCCATTATGGATTACACACTGAGTGAGATTTGTCAGCCAGTTATAAATCCATCTGCCAGTGATGCTGTCTATCCACATTTTTTTAACCGACCAAAAGTAGATTGTATTCTACTTTGCCAAATGTCTTATTGAAATCCAAATCTACTATGTCCACAGCATTTCCCTGGTCCACTAATTTAGTCACTTTATCAAAGAATGAAATAAGATTTGTTTGGAATGTCCCTGATACAACAAATAGGTCCATGATGTTCTGTTCCTTCCTTTTCTATTACACTTTTTTAATCCTAGAATGTTTCTTGAGTAAGTTACTTGGTCAATGCATTGTCATATTACATGAGCTAGGAGAAACCCACTGGGGCAAAGTGTTTGATTGTCAGCATCTGGACACGGCTCCGTGAACTACATAATCCCAATAATCACAATCTGTAGCTAAGCGTGGTTGGCATTACATTACCTACACACTTTCTGCACAATCAAACCAAAGTTGCAACAACTTGCTAGGAAAACATGCTTTCTATCATAATAAGCACAAGACCTTTGAAAGGAGAAACCTTTGTACAAACTCATTGCATACGATAAACCTACAAACATTGGCTAAGATATAACGTTGACACATCCCATTTATTATACCTGTTTTATGACCAAAAGAAGGTCTGAAGTGCTATTCTTTGCAGGGTCTTGTGAGACTCAGATACCCTCTCTATGCATTAGAAGATACACTCTGCTGAGTGCTTCCATTTTGGGATTCATTTGCCTTGTAACTAGCCTGGGCACCATTTTCAGTATTCTCTGGGGATTTCAAGTTCTCCTTTTCTACAGAGTTGCTAGATGTCAGAGGTTTGCAGACATGACAAAAAAACTTGAAGCATATGACCAATCCTTCATAAATATTGGAAGAAAAAAGCTTCTTGCATGGATGGCAGAACTGGTAGAACACAAGCATAAAAAGGACAGCTATGCAGTAGCCAATCAGCAGTTGCAAGAACAGCATTGGAGCACATACATATGTGTAGACATCTGTCTTGTATGTGTACCACATTAGTAAGAGAAAAGCATTCTCAAAGAACCTCAGCAAATAGTACAAAGCCAGCCTACTCCAGTTTGGGGATTTGTCAATTAAATCAGAATCATTAAGCTTCAGCTGCACTGCTGACCAGCAAAACATATTGATGCCGGCATACAGGAAAGTGAGGAGACATAAGACGATGGTGGTACCTACTTTGCTCAAGGCCTTCTCTATGTTTTCTGGCAGAGTACACTTGCTTTGCCAGAACTGAATCCAAGGATGAAAGAAAAAAGCAAAAAAATTCACCAGCACCACAGGCAGGATCCAGATCTGAAGAACTGAACTGAAGAGGACGAGGATTATCACCCTTGTTGCAATCTCAAAGCTCCTCCAGAGGAAAATGCAAAGGTAGGCAGCAGGTTTCACACTGATGTCATAATCGTCATACTTGATCTTAATGGCCAGAATATTGCATCGCAATGCTCCATACACAATTGACAGGAGGGAAAGAACCATGAAGATACCTTGGAAAAATAAATATGACAAACAATAGGTTTTAAAAAAACCAGCACTGTCCAAACTGCAGGAATGGGACTATGTTGGAAATTAAAAACCATACAGAGCACCAAAATATTATCTTTCTTAAATAAAGCAGTTTCCCAGGCCTCTTTTACTTATTTCTAGTGATGGAAAAATATTTTTCCAGAAAAGCTATAAAAATAAGCACAAAAACCTATCTGAAATAATACTAGAAACCCTACACTATTTTTCTGAATGACTGGCTAATGCATTACACAAAACCACAACTTTCTTAATTATCAACTTATATTTATTAACCTCCCAGAAAGGATATAGACTATTGCTTATAAGCCACAAAGATCGGCTGTACCGTGTTCATCAAATTACAACAGTGGTGAAAAAAGGAACTTTATGCCCAATCCTCACTGTTACAATTCACAGGTCTTTAAAATAAAGAAAAGCTGGGTAAGATCATAAGGACAGTTGCAGTTCCATTTAACAACTACTTTGCTTAACAACTGAGTTGCTGGTCCTAATTGTGGTTGTTAAGTAAGAACAACCTGTACTATTGTGCTGAGCCAAAACAAAACACACTGCTTTATGGCATACCATATTATGTAAAGCCATTATGTACACAAAGGGAGGTTGAAAAGATCAGTCAAACACTTCATATTTTAGCTCTTTAGGGCTTGAGAGAAACATCATACTCACACCTCAGCAACTCTCCAAACCTCTTTACGAAAGTCCGCCCAAGGATTTGAGCTTCAGATCTCAAAGTGTGCAAAGCTGTTGTATCACTTAATTGTGAAATCTATCCCCTACCAGTCAGCTGTTATTCGGGCTCCTCTTCTTAATAGAAGCATGTTTAACACCTACCAGCACTAGGATTGAACATGGTAAAGTGGCTGCTTATTCCCACTGCCCATCAACTGTTATTTAGGCTCTTTTTGAAGATGGATTTAGTACGCCTTTCCAAGAGCATTGTATCCTGTTTGAAAATAACCATATAACAGCTGGCTGGTAGGAAGATTATTCAAGGGTCCTTTACGCACAGCCTTTTTTGGAGCTGTTAATAGAACAGAACATAGAATAACAAAGTTGGCAGGGACCTTGGAGGTCTTCTAGTCCAACCTCAAGCAGGAGACCCATTTTACTATACAATTTTAGACAAATGGCTGTCCACTCTCTTCTAGATAGTCTGTTATATTTATATAGATGTCATTCAGATATATCACTATATTACATCTTACCACAAGGTAACTCTAATTAATGTGGTTTACTTGGCTTCAGTTTAGTGAGTTCTGTGAATATAGACATTATGATGATAAAGTATGGTTTATTGCTTATTGTGTAAAATAAATCTAACCAAATGTTTTTTGTCAGTAAGCCATGTTTAAGCAAATGGTGACTTGATGCAAATATAGGCAATTCAGCCCCTATCAATCATTCTGCTTGAAAAACTCTGTTGGAGGTACCTCTGAGTGGTATAATGCTCTCAGTTGGTAGTCTCAGGTGAAAAAAATTACTTTGAAAATAATTTAAAATTCTAGCCTAATCTAATATCTGAGATTGCAGTCATTTTTATTTTATTTTAGTATATAATATTTGTTTTAAAAGCATTGGCACCTACAACAATGGTAAATATTATGATGGTACCAACTGCCTGAAAATGTTGCTGACAACATATGTCAAGTTAGTCACACCACAATAACTTCTTTTAACCATTTTCTGAACCTTTCTAAAAAGAGAGAAAGAGAAGGTTTAGTCATTACTTACCTATAATTCCCTTCTCAAAGCATTTATTGAAACATAAATAGAGAAAAAACAGTTGTACGTACTTCTAGCTGCTGTGATCTCTTGTTGCAGGACACAGATGTAAAGCTGAAGTGTTAGCTGAGGTGCAGATCCTAGGAAAGCTTGAATCACTGACGCTCGACTAAATGCAGATCTGTGTGTAAACAGCTTCCCCTCTGCCTGGCCTACTTCCTTCTCAACCTCTTCTGAATGTCCATCTTTTGGCATCTGTCTTTTCTTAGTGATACTGACATAGGGCTCTTCCACTCTACCTGCATGAAAGTAAATATAAAAAACTTCCACGCACCTGGAAGGAACAAACAAGAGAGACTATCACAACTATCTATTTCTATCACATATTTCAAAAGTGTAATGGATCGCATGTGCATTTATTTCCCCACTGTCACTCCCTAAGACAATCTGTATAGACACCAATCAGCTAACTGATACTTAAGATTATTAAAATTACGGATCATACAATAGAGCAAAGTAATGGCACTAAGTATCTTATATGAACATCCAGCATATTCCAAACACCCCTGTGGAAAGAGATTGTTTAAAGAAAAGCTTCCTTCTCTTAATATGTTACTATTTGGTTACATGCTAATATGATCCACATTCAGCATTATTGAATTTACATAGCCCAACACATATCTTGAGAAGCACTTTGGCGTAATGGTTAAGGCACCAGGCTAGAAACCAAGTAGACTGTAAGTTCTAGTCCTGCCTTTGTCACAAAGCCAGCTGGATGACCTTTGGTCAATCACTCTCCCAAGGTCCTAGGAAGGAGACTATAGGAAACACCTTCTGAAAAATGTTATCAAGAAACCTGTAGGGACTGGTTGAGACACTCACCAAGAGTCAAAAGAGAAAGCAAAAAACCTTAAACCTATACCACACGTATCTCACAGTACTCTGTATGATTTATTTATTAAATAATTTTATATTGCCATCCAACTCTCTGACGGTGATGCTAGGCGGGTTAACGGAATAAACCCCCCAAACAAAACCCAAAACGCCCCCTTGTCCCTGGTGCCAAGATTCAAACAACCCACCACCTGATGGGCTCCATATTAGCCTGGATCATGAGGCCCACTGGGAAAACTATGTTTTCAGGACCCTCCAGAAGAATATGAAGATGGGTGCGGGTGTTATCACCATAGGAATGATGTTTCAGAGATAGGGAGCCACCATAGAAAAGGCTTATAGTTGGTCCCACAAGGTGGACCGTCTTGATTTAAGGGACCCATATCGTACCCTGCCTCCCTGATTTGGTGGGCTGGATAGATATAATTGGGAAATATGGTCTTTCAAAAAACCTGGCCCTAAGGTATGTAGGGCTTTAAATGTGATAACCAGCACCTTGAATTGGACCCAGAAGCAAATCAACAATTAGTGCAATTTCCACAAGAGAGGTGATGTGTGCTAATCTAGACTTGCACAGAACCATGCAATTGCTACATTTTGAACCAACTTTTCAAGGATGTTCCATGTAGAGTGTATTATATTTATATTTTATATATACAAACTATACTTATATACCACAGACCATATTGGTGCCAGAGAGGCTTAAAATTCTTGATTCTTTTAAAAATCCTCATATCCCGATACTCAAATGATAATTTTGAATTTTAATATTTTACATTGTGAGTTAAAGGCCCAAGGCTCCCTAACCAATCGTGCCATCCCATGAATGTGTGACAGCTTGTTATCATGGGCTGGTGCCATTCAGGACCAAGCATTTATTGCATACAAGAAACAATGATTAGCTAAAAGTTAAATCACCATTTCTCTTTATGCATCCCATTTCCAGAGAGAATTGAAGTTGCCAACATTGAGAAACATTAATATCGACTTTAGTTCATTCAAAGGAAGGATTTATTAACACACCGTATCAAGTTGGTTTTTTAATGAATTTTTTTTAAAGATTCTCAGACAGCTAAAAGGAAAATAGGCTTTACCGGTGTATCAAAGAGCAAGCTCTTTATTTGCTGTAGGTGTCCGACCACCTACTTCCCTATAGCAATGGATTCATCCCGAGTTATAGAGCCTGGACCCCCTCACCAACGGTGCCATTCTGTGCAGTGTGTGACCGCTTGTTGTCCTGGGTTGGTGCCATTCGCGAACAAGGGCACCTCATTCATCTTGAAGGCCCTCCGGAGAAGAGCCCAGCCTTGGGATTCCTCCTCGGTGGAGCCACCGTCCCACCCACCTGACAATGGGTCCCAGCTGCAGGATGTGGAGCAGCAACACCAGCGGCCTGTCCCGGCTGAGGTCGCGGTGGATGAAGACGAGGCTGAACTGGACCAGGATGCAAGGCAAGAGAGCGAAGAGGAGCGTCAGCGATTGCCAAATGCGGTCACCAGCCGAGCGGTAGGTGCTGCTCAGGTACAAGGCGATCGCCGTCTCGGCCACGAAGAGGAACAGCGAGACGAGGACGGAGCCCGGGAATTTCATGGCCCCTTTTTTTGCGGCCTGCCCACCGGCAGGCCAACCGGCGGCTCAGGGGGCTGCAAGGGAAGGCGGATGCCGTGGCAGGCAGACCCGCAGCGGAGGCCTCCTGACGCCCATCTCCGTCTTCTGCAGCGGCGCTTCGGTTTCTTGGGCGAAGAAGGGAGCGACTGGCGCTTGCGATGCATGGCCGCTAGGAGTCAGGCCTGAGCGGGCTGCGGCAGTCGCCGAGAGCGCCGGGCATTTGAGTCCGGCTTTCTGGGCTCGGGGATGAACAAAAGAGCCCCTCTGATCACAGCTGGATTCGTCTGTTAACTCCCGGAGTTTGAGAACAGTGGACTCTCTCTACATGGGGAACAAAGATGGAGGCATCCGGTATTTTTTTCCACATGCTGGAGTCTGGCCCTACCTCAAATCAAGCCCAGATATACCCCATGTTAGTTTGTACAGGCAAAGGAAGAGGTGGCCTGAATGGTGAAGTCTTTTGATTTTACCCTGAATGTTACTCTTCTTCTCAAACAGCACTCACTAATAAAGACTCGTCCAACCAGATATTCCACAGACGTCCTAAGTACCTGCTACGAATTAGGATACCCTTTGTATTCCCAAATATTAGGGGAGAAAGAAAGGCTGTGGTGTAGTAGATGCTCAGTGGACAGAAATTTACCTGGTGACAATTGCCCCCAGTTTCATGGTGGTAAAAGTCTACAACTATGTGCTGAGATTGGGTTGGCCACTCAGCATTCATCTGAATTGTGTTAAGAAAAAATGGCAATTCCCCTTGATGCGAGAAAACAGGGAATGTATACTTCTGCTTATTCTCTGCAGAGTTGGGTAGCCATGTCCACATGCTATTTACCAGTCCTAGATCTACTAGCAGAAAAGTTGCCTCCTCGGTCTGAGAAAAGTTGCCTGCCCATAGAAAACAAGCATAAGAAATAATGGGGCAATAAGGATAAATACTTTAAAAAAGAATAAGGGGGAAAATGTAAAAAATAGAAGAATACTGTCACGAAGTTGATGTTAAAATATATATTGTGTATATATGTGTATTATGTTTTGTTTTGTTTTGTTTGTCGGTTTAAACAATAAAAAATATTAATAAAAAAATTTTAAAAAAAAGAAAAGAAAAAAGAAAACAAGCACTCTTCCTAACATGGAAGGGAGCAGGAGTGGGTGAGAATGGATGCATAGAATGGTGCTCCATTCCAAGAAAAGCTTTCCTTCAGGCTACTTTTGAACATGGGCTTAAGCGCTCTTTTGAAAGTGGCTGGGAAATTCTGGGAAATGAAATCTACATATCTTAAGGTTGCAAATTTTGGGTTAGGTTGCAAATTTTGGGTTGAGAAACACTATGCTAGATCATATCTACGACAAAAATTACAAAGATGGAAAACACTTCAAAATAAGTAGCTAAATATAACTTTTCAGTAATTGAAAACTGGTTCAAATCTGTATGTAGGATAACATCAGTATAATGGAATAACTAACTAACTAAATAAGTGGAATAACTCTTCACAGTGTGGGGTAGGGATGTGAGATATTTTAATAATTTCCAGTAATCACCAGAATGATAGAAAAAAATAGCTTAGGTCAGGGGTAGTCAACCTTGGCTCTTTTATGACTCGTGGACTTCAACTTCCAGCTGGCTCAGGAATTCTGGGAATTGAAGTCCACGAGTCATAAAAGAGCCAAGGTTGACTACCCCTGGCTTAGGTAGACTAAAATTAAAGAAGACATCATGGGAGTTTGGTTAAAAGCAGGCACATAGGCCTCAAGCTATGGGGCTAGAAGACAGTTTTTTCCCAGCAGGTCCCCTAGCTATTATTTGATCCAGAACAGGGGAAAAAGTCTGGGTTGGTAATTGTTTATTAATATAGTACAAAGCAAAAGGTACAAAGCAAAGTCCTCATCTGCAAAAGTTAAGGCAGCCACTTCCTATGGAAGGATCATATGGTGGTGGGTTTTTTGTTTTTGTTTTTAGAAAGCTGTCTCTGTAATACTTCCCTTGAGACAAATGGCAAAATCGAGCAGCAGGGTTTCGGTTCATAGAAAGTATCCACAGCGTCTACACCATAGTTCTTTTTTATTTGGATTAAGGAAAACAAGCATATGTACTTTATATAAATAACATCAATTGGTGGAAGAATTTTGTTATTCTAAACCACTATTTGTATCACCATTTTAAAAAGCTGAAAAAGCATCCTATTCTCTTATATACATACTTCCCTAGTTTACAATACAAAAGTAATACAACAAAGAATATTTTTGAAATAAAGTGTTGAAACTACTATACTGGTAATATTTTTTTACTTAACATTAAGATACAATTCTACCAGAGAACATTCATCTTAATTTCAACTGACAAGAAGTAGATATCAAAGCTAGGAACAGTTTTGTAATGTATGCAATGTTCATAGCACACTGAAACAAATAGGCAGAGATTAGCAATAGTGGATACATAACAGCAACATAAATTGTTGCTTTTGAAATATGAAATTAATTTTACAATAACTTAATATAGATTGCCATCCAACTGAAGCTTTGCAAATATACTCATTTATTAATGTCACAAATAATTCCATGATCTACAATGACTTTAGGCCTGTTCCAATCCATTTCAGTCAAATAGCAAATGAGAGTAGCGATGATATAGTAACAGTATATTATTCAGAGCTGAAAAGAGAATTCATGTACCATGCTAAGCCACATTGTTTGGTCATGGAATTTTGTGTTCTGCAAAATAAGTCAGTGTCAAATGTAAATTATGCTTTATGGCTCAGTGTATTAGACAAAAGAGGGTGTTTTTTGATGACACTAGATTAAATAAATCATAGCTTACCCACATTTTAGGAATGTAGTTGATAAATGAGAGTTTAAGATTCCACAGTGCTGAAAAGCAAGTGAGCTCTGGCCCATTTTTTTTATCATATACCATTGAGTAAATATTTTATTGATAATGTAAATGTGACGTGTGCTCTCTAACAATATAGAATTAAAAATTAATTAATTCTTCTTGTTATTATTGCATTATTTCTTCTTTGCCAGTCATGGCATTAAAGATTAAACATAGGATGAAATGCTTGTGATTAGTTCTCTTTTACATGAAGCTAATTTTAAGACTTTCCTGATTGTTATATACAATTATTGTGTAGAAAATAATCTATTGTTAGATATAATACTTAGGAATATTACTACATCATAAAATATTTTTGAAGCAAGGAAATCTTTCAAAATGAATTTCTATGCTGTTATGTTATATTGCTATTGTTGAATCTAACTTATTTCAAGGTTTTAACAGAGCATGTTCTATATAATTTCAGTACCAGAAATGACAATTTTTTAAAAGTAAGATATTCTTTTACCTAGGAATCTGTTTTTAAACTAGGACAAACTTGTGAAGAGCAGTTCAGGTAGCTGAAAATAGTAATACTTCAACTATAAATGAAGAAAGATTTGTCTATGCTTTATCTAGTTTGTAGCATCACTTTCATCACAAGACTATTTGGTGGCTATACCACTAAACCACTTGTGTCAAAGTGTGCAAATTAATAGCAGTAAACACAACTACTGGCAATTTAATATTAACATGAAGTCTTTATCAGTGCAGAGATGTCTGAGGGAAGTTTGCTATAATTAATGTTGATATGGTCAAGGCAATCTTATGTGCATATAAATAGAGATGTACATAGCAAGTATCTGTGCTATGTTTTGGGAATATGCCT